GTTTCCCTGACTGAGCTTGGATGTTTTCCTTTCGCTTTGCAAAGTTTTCCCAGCCCAGGCTCCTCCATTCCCTCGCGTTCTCCGGAGCAGGGCGGGACGGCGGCCAAGCCCGGAGCGGCGGAACCCGGGGCCCGGAGCGCCGGGAAAGGACAGGTACGTGCGGCTGGAAGGGACACCCGGGCTCGGCTCTGCCGGCTCCGTGTGGAGACGGACGTGGGGGAGACGGAGATGGTTCCAGGAGCGAGGGGAATGAGGCAGAGCAGGGGGGATTTTGGCTGTTTGGAGATTTTTTTTTTTTTTTTTTTGGAGGGGAGGGAGATAATATCGCTGTCCCCGCGGTCTTTGTTTTGGGAAATGTCCCCTGGGAGCAGGAGGTGACGCCCGCTCCATCGTGCCAGGCTCTGCCAGCCCGGAGCGGGCAGGTGCGCGGGCAGCGGGGTCCGGGAAGGAAGGGGGGACAGCTCCCACCATCCCTGCTCCACCTGGGATTGGCCGGGAATGGGATGTTTCGGGATCGGGGATGGAGCTGGGCCCCTTCAGAAGTGCCGGGCTGGAATCTGGTGGCCACGGGGAAGGGTGGGGGGCTTCGTTCCGGTGGTCACGGGGAGAGGAGGGGTCGTGAATCTTCATCCCGGGGGTCACGGGGAGAGGAGGGGTCGTGAATCTTCATCCTGGGGGTCGCGTATCTTCATCCCGGGGGTCGCGGGGAGAGGAGGGGCGGGAGTCTGGGTCTGTACCTGCGGATGTACGAATGGGTGAGCCAGGGTGGGTTAATGGGTTACTGCTCCCTGCCGTGCCTGCGGGATTGAGGGAAAACACAGCAGGGAAAGCTTTTTGCAGCACTGGCACATCCCCTGGTGAGCCGACAGGCTGCGGTCCCCTCTGGTGTCACGGTGCTGTGTGGCACAGCAGGATGCTGAGACCCTCCCCCGTCATTTTGGGGGCTGCAAATGCCTTTTTTAAAGCGAGGGCCACGACCCTGCTGCGCCCAGCGGTGGCACCGAGGGCTGCCCCACCTGGTGCCACCCCAGGTCCAAAAGGAACCGTGGGCTCCTCGCTGAGACCGGCTCCAGGTCGGGCAGGACTCGCTGCTCCGGCTCTCCTTGCCAGACCTCCGCTTATCTCGCCCCAAAAGATGAATCTTTATTGCTCTGCATCTTTATTGCTCCGCATCTTTATTCCACGCTCCTCCAGCGCAGCTGTGTTGATGGGAGCTCAAACAAAAACAGGTTATGCCGTGGGTGAGGCCAGCGCGGAGCTGCCAGTGCTGCTGGGTGCTTTGAGGGGCTTTTTGGAGATGTTGTGTTTCCTGGCGACTCTGCAAAAGCCGAGTTGAGGCAGGGATGCAGCGCCCTGGCCGTGCTGGGAGCAGGGAGGCTGTGCTGAATTCCGAGCGGGCTGGGGTGGCTGCGCTCCAAGTTAATGTGTGACCTTGGCAGCAGAGGGCTGGGAGCCCACACAGGCTCCCACAGCCAGCTGGAGACGGGGGCTGCTCTCGGGGAGCCAAATCAGATTAGTACAGCCAGGAATTTCAGCCTCTTGTACCCAGGGAGCCGCGACGGCTTCCGATCCTTTGGAGGAGAGCAAGAGGAGCTTGGGCAAACGCATCCGGAGGAGCTGCCACAGGCAGGACAGGAGGATTTAGGGCCAAGGCAAATGACACCAGTGCCACCCAGCCTGCCCGACTGGTCTGTCACACGTCCCTGCTGGCAGGGAGAAGCAGCTCCCCCAAAGTGCCACCATGGTGCCACCTCCCCCCGGCGCCTGATCCCCAGGTTTGAGGCAGGCTGGGAGCATCCCTGCATCCCTTGGCAGGCCAGCAGGGAGGGGCAGCAGCGGCAGTGCCCGGAGGCAGCGAGGGAGGGCAGGAAGGAAGAGGGGACAGAGCAGAGGAGCCAGACCTGTTGGGGCTGCCTGGCTCTTTAGCATGGGAGGCGCGTACCTCTGTCACCGTCTGGGGCTAATTACAGGGACTTGTTTACAGCCCAGACGGCCGCCAGCCAGCGTAATCACATCAAACTGGGCTGGGCTGGGCTCTCCGGCACATCCCCGCGCCTTCACAGCAGGCACAGGGAGCCCTGCCCAAGCCACTCTCCCCCAGTGTCACCCCCACCGCGCTGGTGGCCCTTGGATGGGGTCCCTGTGCCCCGCGGGGCTGGGGCCAGGCCGGCACCGCTGAGTCCCCGGAGCATCGGAGGGGTCTAATTAACAGCAGAGTTCCAGGAGATTACACAAATGCAGCTTGGAGGATTAATGAGCAAGCACAGCCTGGGAATGCCCCCCACCTCCCACGGGGAGGGAGAATTGGGGACACCTTCCCCAAACCAGGCAGGAGCAGAGCTGGGCTGGGCACGAGGGTCCCCACTCAGCATCCCCAGGGTCTCACACCACTCTGCTCCTCCTGCAGAGCCAGGGCTGTTTCCTGGCCCACCAAACCAGCAAGGCCAGGGCTCTTTTTGGGCAGCAAATACGCAGCCAAGCCAGATTATTTCATCTCTGTCCCAAAGCACAGCTTTGAACAACACCCTACAACCAGCCCTGCATCCCCCCGGGTTGCCCCAGGGTTCCAGACCCCAAAATGGCAGGAAAAAGCCGGCAGCCCTTTTGTTTTATCTCTGATTAGCCGATCTGCAGCGTTAATCATTGACCCGGCAGCAGGGCAGGGAAACCTGAGCTGCCCCGGCTGATCCCTCCTGCTCCCGGCTCCGGAGCTGCCCCCTTTGGGTGCCACATCCCAGCACCCCGAAAGGAGCAGGGGCTGAGCTGGGGGTGTTGGGTGGGAGCAGTGGGGACACTGGGATGTCCCTGACAGGGGAGACACACCAGCACCATCCCAGTGTGGAGCAGGGAATGGATCCTGGTGGTGGCACAGGTGTAGGAGGGAGAAAATTTTGTGGTCTGGGCGTTCTCACCCCTCATCCCTGAGACTGTTCTAGGCGTGGAACATTTTCATTTTCCAGAGGGGTTGATCCCCTCGTTGCAGGAGTGAATCCCTGCGGGTGTTTGGTCACAGCCCCGTGATTTCCCCTCCCTGGGGAGCAGCATTTCAGCCCCATCCCACCCTGGCTCCCAATGCCAGGGCAGGAAGCGTGGGCTGAGGGCGTCAGGCTCTGGGCTGGCATCCAGGGAACCCCAGGAGCCACCACATCAGCATGTCGCCTTTGTTTTGGGAAGCCAGGGCAGGAAGGAAGTGCGGTGGAGAGGAGGAGGGGACGGCACCGGATGGGTTTCCACTGCATAACCCGAGCCAGGCGTGCGGTGTGGGCTGGGCAGGAACAGCCCTGGGCACAACAATGGCAGCCCGAGGGGAAGGAATTATTTTCCACTGAATTGGCCTCAACCTCTCGGTCTGTTCCCACTCAGGGATGGGCCACTAGACCTGGGATTAGCCATGCCAGGGATGGGCCCTAAACCTGGGATTAGCAAAGGGCTGGTGGCAGCTGGGGGAAAGCTCCTGCTGTGGGTGTTGGTGTTTTCCAAAACGTGTTCCAGCTTGAGCTTGGGCATCTGGGGTCTTCCCTGCCTGGCTTCATCCCATGGATCCCATCCCATGGATCCCATCCGATAAATCCTATCCCATCCAATCCCGTCGCATGGATCCCATCACATGGATCTCATCCCACAAATCCTATCCCATCCTCATCCCATAAATCCCATCCCATAAATCCTATCCCATCCCAGTCCCATCCCAATCCCATAAATCCTATCCCATAAATCCCATCCCATAAATCCAGTCCCATCCCAATCCCATAAATCCCACTCCCCCAGCCCTGCCGAGTGCCCGTATCCTTGGTGTGGGTTTGCTGTAACCCCCAAAGAACCCCCCCAAAAAATCCCCTGGACTCCTGCGTTGGTTCAGCTGAAGGTCTCGAGGTCCTGGTGGTTTGGAGCATCTCCCCTGTCTGTCCTGTCCTGTCCTGCTGCCACGTGGGCACAGGATCCGTGTGCCAGGGATGGCTCCCGCTCCCTGCCTCGTGTCTGAGCACCTCTGGCTCTCTGTCCCCAGCTCATGTCCCTGCCGAGCCCTGCATGGCCCCAGCGGGACCAGCCCTCCCCGTGCAGCGCCAGCACCGCTCTGCCCCCGGCCTCGTCCGATAGCGACTCCGGCTGTGCCCTGGAAGAGTACCTGGAACCTTCCGTGGACCCCGCGCCCCCCGAGGTGGGCAGCACCCGCCTCTCCGCCAGCCCTGGCTGGTTCTCACACCCCATTTCCTGCTGTTAAACACACGTTTTAGCAGCTTTGAGCTTAATCCTCCTAAAATTCCACCTGTTTGTCCCAAGGTCCTGCCGTGCTTCGGGCCCCGCTCGCCGCAGCCTGGCTCTGCCCCTGACAGGACCCGGCTCCGTGCCAGAGCCCTCCTGCAGCAGCTGCCTCCTCAGGACTGCGATGTAAGACTCCTCTTTTTTGGGTGCTGCTCCCCTCCCCGATGCATTTCGGGGCTACCTAAAGACGGAGGGCAGACCAAATTAAGGGAATAAAAAGCAGTTCTATTTGTTGAAGGGTCTCCAGGTGCATTTAGGGCAGATAAAGCTCCCCAGGGCTACACCCAAAATGGACCACGGGTCATGGTTTTTCACACTTTTATAAATTTGGTCCATTTGCATATTGGGGGTTAATTTTTCAATTGCATCTTCAGGCAATGAAGTCATTTACACCAAGTTTACTCCCCCAACTCACTTTTGTTTACATTTCTCGAGGCCTGAGGCAGTGAGGTGTCCTTGATTCCCAGGCCCGGAGAGGAATTGTTTTGTCAAAACGGGAAAGCAGCAGCCAACACTGCATATACAGTTACACCCTAAAGGATTGCAGGATTATAAATGTGTGATAAATATAAAAAGCCGAAATCCTAAGGGATCACAGCCCCATTTCCCTGTCCCCTGTGCCCCACAGGAGCGGTACTGCCCCGACCTGGCCGAGGAGGAGCGGAGGCAGCTCCGAGCCTTCAGCGCCCGCCGCAGGCAGGAGGCTCTGGGACAGGGCCTGGCGTGTCCCGTGCCAGGTCCCTGCCACGGCTGTCCCTGCAGGAAGGTGAGGTGTCCCCTCCAGCACCCATTCCCCTCCGGGGACCCATCCCCAAAAACCAGCCTGGCCCCAAACCCTGTGTCCCTCTGCCTCGCAGTGCGGCCGGAGGCTGAACAAAGGGGACCCGGGGATTTCGGCGTCTCGCCTGGGGGACCAGTTCTGGCACCCGTCCTGCTTCTCCTGCCACTTCTGCCACCAGCAGCTGGTGGATCTCATCTACTTCCAGCAGGATGGGAGGATCTACTGCGGCCGGCACCACGCCGAGCTCTTCCGACCCCGCTGTGCCTCCTGCGACCAGGTGGGCACCGGGCAGGGGGAGGCTCTGACCTCCCTTTGGCCTTAAATACCCCCGAGATCGGCTGGGGGCTCCAAATCCATCCAAACCACCGATGGGCTGGAGGAACATTCCTTCCTGAGCCTTGCAGAGAACTCCACGAGCTGGGGACTCCTCCTCACTCCCCAGCACAGCAAAGCACCGTGGGTTTTCCAGCAGGGTGCTGAGAGGATGGGGGTGGTTTTCCCACTCCAATGGGGTGCTGAGAGGATGGAAGCTGTTTTCCCATTCCAGAGGGGTGCTGAGAGGATGGGGGGCTGTTTTCCCACTCCAGCTCATCTTCATGGAGGAGTGCATCGAGGCCGAGGGCCGGCGCTGGCACCTGGAGCACTTCTGCTGCCTGGAGTGTGACGAGCCCCTGCGCGGGCAGCGCTACGTGATGAGGAGCGGCCGGCCGTGCTGCCGGAGCTGCTTCGAGAGCCTCTTTGCCGAGCCGTGCCAGGCGTGCGGGGACCCCATCGGTACGGCCGTGACCCCCTTACCTTCCCCCCGGGCTGGGAAGGCTGCGGAGCCTTGGGAGGATGGGTTTAAAGGGAAGAAGAACCTTTCCCTGAGCTGTGGCTGCCCCCGCAGGTGCTGACAGCGAGGAGGTCACACACCAGGGGCTGCACTGGCACGCCCGAGCCTCCTGCTTCTGCTGCAGCCTGTGCCGAAAGGCGCTGCGGGGACAGCCCCTCACCTGCCGCCGCGGCCGCCTCTTCTGCTCCGACACCTGCAGCCGCGGCCAGGACGCCTCTTCCACCGCCTCCGACTCCTCCGACTCGGCTTTCGCCTCCGCTCCATCCCCCGACTCCACGCCGCTGTCCCGAGCCGGCAGGAGCCCGGCGGCGGGGGGCTGCAGGCAGCGCGGGGAAGGGGCCGGTAGGATCCTGCTGCTATGGGCTGGGAGGGGAATGGGAGCAAATCCAGCTCTGCCCAGCCCCTGGGGACGCTTTATTGGGGATGTCACACCGTGGGAAATGGTGATAAACCTCCAGCTCACCTCCCCCCGTCGGTGTCACCCCATGTGTCCCAAGACAACCCTCGCAGTGGGAGGAGGGCTGGGGGAGGGCAGGCTCAGCTTCTCTTTCCTCCCTTACACCCACTTCCCTCTTGCAGAGGAGTTTTTGGACCAGCCCCAAGTGCACCCCGCGTTCAGGAGCCCCGAGGATCTCGGAGCAGCCGCACGGGAGAGGAGCAGTGATGCTGCCAAGGAGCACTCGGGGGTGCTGGGACCCCCAGCCGGCCACCCCTCAGCCCCCCAGCCCAGCCCAGAGCGCCCCAACGAGCCTGGAGCCTTGGGCCACCCGCTTTTGGGGGGCCCTGACCCCCGAACAGCCGCAGGCAATGGAAACCCACAGTTCCAATTGGGCGCGTCCCCTCCCCGACACGGCCCCCGGGCAGAGGATGGCACGGAGGAGGATGACTCCTGGTGTCCCACCTGCTCCTCATCTTCGGACTCAGACTCGGAGGAGGAAGGTTTCTTTTTTGGGAAGCCCATCCCCAAACCCGGGATGAATTCCCTGGGCAGAGAGCCCCAAGGAAGGGGCAGGGGCAGGACGGCCAAGCACTGCAGTGTGTCCTAACAGCGGCGCCGGGGGTCCCCGAGTGGCACTGCCAGGTCCTGCCACGTCCTGCCAGGTCCTGCCACGGCCTCAACGCGTTCCAAGAGCGTCCTGGACACGGCCCAAGGCGGGTGGGAGAAGCTGCTGGGATCCTTCCCCCCCGGCAGCTGCTGGCAGAGCAGAGCCTGCAATTCCTGCCAGCCTCTCCCACAATTAGGAACAGGTAAAGCAGGAAGGGAGCGGGGCCGGCAGCCCGGGCTGGGCCTCCAGCACCTCCAACGAGGCAGGGAGAGCGGCCAGAGCTCCAGACAAGGGCAGCTGCCTGCTTCACCCCACTGGGATCCTCCCCTGGACTCCTCTGTGCCCCACTGGCACCTGCTCTCCATCCCTGGTGGCACCGTGTCCTGCTGTCACCACGGGGAGGGGACAGGGGCGCGGCTCTGCTGCTGCTGATGACGAAGCTCCAATAAAGTTTGGCTGAAATCTGAACGCAGGGTCTGCCCCGTTCCTTCCCAGCCCATTGTGACACTGACAGTGTCACCGGGGCAGGGAGACACCCGGGGTGACCTCTGCCCTCTGTCACAGCCGGGGTTCACTGTGGGACCCCTCCCTGTCAGCGCCAGGAGAGCAGGAACGGAAAAATGGCAGAGCAAGGGCTGCAAACTGAACACGGTTTATTTGTAGATTCAAACTCAAATTCTCTCACTGGGTTTGGAGACACATCCCTGTCAATCAGGAATGGAGGAGAGAGACTGCTGCCCCCCCTCCCATCACCCTCCAGCAGAACCAGTAAAACCATCGCTGCCCTCAGGGGTTTGGGCAGGGCTAAAACCAAACCGACCCTGCTCACCGTCCTCCTCCAAGACACAGAGTGGGACTGCCAACATCTCCCACCTTGTCCCGCAGGCTCAGCACCCTCCTGAGCACCCCAGAGCGCTGTCACAGCCCTGTCACAGCCCCCAGCCAGCTGGCAGGAGGGGGTGGCTGCCATCAGAGGCTGTCGATGGTGTCGATGAAATCCTCCAGCTGCTGCAGGTGGTGGATGCGGCACTGGCGGAGGTTGGCCCTGAGCGCCACCCCCAGCGCCGCCTCCATCGAGGGCTCCTTCTGCAGCAGCATCGTGGCCACCACGGCTATGGTCAGGCTGAACTGCTGGTACGACTGCAGGGGAGGGCCACGGGGTCAGCACCCCAAAACCAGCACCAGACGACCCCAATTTTTAGTGCACAAACCCCCAAACGTCATCCTATAAACCCGTTATTGCCCACAGCGCCTCCCCTGCAAAATGCCCCCCAAAATGCCAAATTCACACCCCCCCCACCACCCAGCATTGCTCCCAAAGCTCCTCAGGTGAGATCCCCCCCATCCTGCAGCCATCCAGGGGCTGCCAGGACTCACCAGCTCGATCTCTGCCTTCTTGGCCAGGACAGCAGCAGAACGGAAATCGATGCCGGCCGGGAATGGTGATGGGAGCACGGAGCAGAGCTGGTGCTGGCCAGACACAGCCTGGGAGGTGCAAAAGCCAAGGAAGGGTCAGAGGGGAAAAGGACTGAGCCAAACTGGAGCTGCCAGTGCCGGTCATTAGCCCAGGACTGGTCACCCTGTGGAAGGAGCCATTGGTTTGTCACCCTTCCCTCGGGTGCCAGAGCTGCCCCCGCTCCCCCTCTGCCCCAATTTCTCTCCCTCGTTAGGCAGTAATTAAACTGCTCTGGAGGGCTCTCCTCGGCTTGCTCAGAGCTCCAGTCCCAGGGCTGGTCACGCTCCAGCACTCCCGAGCCTCCGGTTACTTCCCTGGCTTTTGTCCCAGCCGAGTCCCGTTTATCAGCGCCTCCCTCCAGCAGCGGGGCCGACACGGGCTCTGCCTCCAGACAAAGCTGCCCTTTAACCCCAGCCCGGCATCCTGCAGCCACAGGGATCCCCCTTTGGGCATGGCAGTGTCCCCAAGGCCAGGACATGGCCCCGTGTGGGGACCTGGGGGTGCCCGGACCCCGTACCGGGTTTGTCTCACCGGAGCCAGGCGGGTGCTGGGAGGTCTCTGGGTCGCTGCAGGCACCAGGAGAAGCCTGGCTGGGCTGGGCTTTGGGTTCTGCTGCACATCCTGGAGGGACCTGAGGGTTTTCAGGCTGCTGAAGGCTCTGCAGAGGGCGAGGGACAGAGAGTAGCTGGGGGAGGAGGGGGTGGCTGTGCTGGGACAGCGCTGCCAGCACGGCCCCGTGGGGTGGGGACACGGCGTGGGGACACAGAGCTGCCCCACATCCCAAACTTACCCCATCCTGGGCAGCCTCTGCCTCGGCTTCTCCAGCTCCACGAGGTGGCTGCTCCCAGGAATGTGGGCTGAGCTCAGCCCCTGCCTCTCCAGAGGAGCTGGATTCCAGGAGCTCCCTCTTGGCAGGGTCTGGAGGGGCTGCTGGGCTCTGGGGATGTGACCCATGACCGCTGCCAGCCTTGGGGACAGCTGGACTGCACGGCTCTGCCTGTGCAAACATCACAGGGGCGCTGCAGAGCCCACAGTGAGGGGACAAAGGGTTTGGGAAGGGGGCTGTGCCTTCCTCCAGGCTCTGCTTTGGGGTGGGAATGTAAAACACCCCTGGGGGAAGCTGTGTGCTGCTGGTGGGGAGGGTTTGGGGTGCCTGGAGCTCACCCCGTGCCGCTTCCCAGCACTCCCATACCTCAGGGTGCTCCTGGATCTCAGGACACCTGGAGGTCTCCTCCAGAGGGGCCGGATCTGTTCCCAAAGCACAGGGATCCTGCTCCTGGCTGCCCACAGGGGTCTGCCCGGCTCCCAGCTCAACCTGGGGACAGGCAATGGCGTGAGGACACGTGTCCATCCCGGGATGGGACAGGCAGGGCACCACAACCCAAAGGAAAGCACGGAGAAGAGCCTGGAAAAATTCCAGTGAGGCAGAGAGGGGAAGGGCTGGGTGGGTGAGAGAGGAGAGAGATGCTGAGACCCCCGAGCCAGGCAGCTCCAGAGGTGGGAGCACCCCTGGAATCTCCTACCAGCGGCTCCACAGCACCAGGATGGGCAGCTGGGCTCTCCAGAGGGCTCCCAGCCGGACTGGGGGGCTCCAGGACATCCCCACTCCCCTCTGGCACATCCTGGAGGGAACCAGCACACCGTGCAGGGCTCAGGGTGAGCACGCTCCTGGTGTGGGATTTTGGGGGGGGGACGGGACAGGTAAAACCCCACAACCTGCGGCTGGTCCGGGCTCTCTGCAGCACCTGGGAGGGCAGCAGGGGGCTGGGGGGGCTCCGGGGGCTGCAGCTCCTTCCTGGCCACGGGCTGGCTCCTATTGGAGGGGGCGGGAGAGGGTCTGGAGTGCGGCTTGTGCCCTGCAGGGTGGAAAACAGCGGGAGAAACTCATCACCCTGCCCTGGGAGAGGCTGCAGAGCACCGAGGAGGCAGCACGGGGACAGGACACACCTCGGGGGGGTCGGGGACACCACTCCAGGGGGACCAGGGTGAGCTGCCGGAGGTGGCTCCGGCGGAGGATGCGTCTCCCAGCCGGGCGGTGGCTCCAGGGCGGGCAGTGGCCACGGAAAGCTCGGGGATTCCTGCAGGAGCACAGCCCCGGCGAGGGGGGTTTGGTTGGGTTGTGCAACCCCAACCTGGGCAGCGACAGCTTCCAGCGGTGCTGGTGTCCCCCCATTGTCACCCCACAGCCCCCCGAGCCCCCCGCACCCACCGCGGAGGACCGGAGGGGGGCCAGGGTGGGGGCTGCTCCTCCTCGGGGAATTCAGACCAGGGATCAGGCATCAGATCCTGCAGGGAATGAACGGGCTGGGTTTAGGTGGAACGGGACAGGGGATGCTGTGACTGCACTGTCCTTGTCACCAGGGCAGTGAGTGACCCCTGCCCCATTTTAGCCACTCGGTCCTGTGGCTGCCACCCCCTCACCGAGTGCCAGCCATCTCCAAAGCCGTCCTCAGCTCCTTGGAATTCTTCTCTGTCATCCCAGGGAGGCTGTGGGGGACAGTCGTGGGGTGCCCAATTCCCCTCCTCCTCCTCCTCCTCCTTCCATGGGATGTCACCAGGGCCAGGGAAGGGTCTGGGCTGCAATGGCAACAGCCACAGGTGAGGACACAGCCACAGGTGAGGACACAGCCCACCGGGATTTTTTGGTCCCCGCTGTGACCCTCAGCTCTTTCCCCTGCTTTGGGCTGCCCTGGGTTTGTCAGTGAATCCCTCCCTGCACCAGGGGTGCAATTAGGGTGAACCAGCTCGGATTTCACCTCACTGTGAAAATCAGCAGCAGTGGAGGGGGGGATCAGGCTGCCAGTGGTGGTGGAGAACACTGATTGCAGCCTGACCCCAATATCCCAAAACGAAACCCCCACAAGGATGTGAAACCCCAAATGAAACCCCACGAGGATATGAAACCTCGAGAGCAACAGGCAGTGGCAGGAAACAGGGGCAGATGTTTCCTGGGAGGAACCAGAGGGCAGCAATCGCTTTTTTAAGGACAAAAAAACCCCCCAATATTCCTCACTCCGTGCTGTAAAAGCTCATCTCCACTTTTGAACAGCAGAATTTCCAGCACAGCCCTCCCAGGAGTGAGTGTGGATTCCTTTCTGGAGCCCTTCAAGGTCACTCCTGGAGGCTGAGCCAAAGGGAATTGTGTGGGTCTGGGTGAGCAACATCAATCTAAACTTCATAATTGCTAATTAGCTTTAAAACTATCGATTTAATAAGCAGTGCCCTGGTTATAACCACCCACTCTGCACTGGAGATACCTGGTTGAGATCCTCCAGCCCAATCACCACCCTCCATCAAAATAAATCATTTATTTCAGCTATGTAAATATATTTGTTTTGCCATTCTTAATCCTGGGGAGGAGAAGCTGTGGAATCCTTTAGACACAAACCGCTGGCCAGCTAAACAGCTGGATCCAGATGTTTCCAGACTCCTTTTGGGAATTTAGAAAGCCAGAGGCTCCTTTTTGTGCCTGGGGGTCCATGACTGGATCCAGACACGTCCAGATTAATTTTGGGGAAGGAGTTTAGAGAGCCAGGGGCTCCTTTCTGTGCCTGGAGGCTCCCTGGGAGGGTGTCCCTGATAAATTCCAACGCTGCCACCGTGCCTGTGGCACATCCTGGGACATTCCCCCAGCCCTGTCCCTTACCTGGGGCCGCCTGCGCCGGCGTCTCCTGCTCTGGTGCGGCGGGGGTGGCTCCTGCCAGGTCTGCTCATCCCAGGGCTGCTCATCCCAGGGCTGCTCATCCCAGTTCTGCTCATGCCAGGGCTGCTCACCCCAGGGTGGCTCACCC